CATTGGAATTTTGATTGGGATTGTACTGAATTTGTATATTGCTTCGGGTAGTATGGACTTTTTAACAATATTAATTATTCCAATCCATGAGCATGGAATATCTTTCCATTTATTGTGTCTTTAATTTCTCTCATCAATGTTTTATACTTTTCAGTGTACAGAACTTTAAACTCCATGGTTATATTTATTTCTGGATATTTTATTTTTTGAAAGCAAATATAAATGGGATTGTTTACTTACCTTATCTCTATTTTATTAAAGTATAATTGACACAATATTATATTGCAGATTATAACATTTATGTATCTTATGATGTGACCACCATAAGTCTAGTAACCATCTGCTTTGGACAGTTATTACAATATTATTTTATTCTCTGTAATATAGAGGACATCCCCATGACTAATTTATTTTAAAACTGGAAATTTATTCGTTTTACTCCCTTTCACCTTTTCATCCATTCACCGCCCTCCCCCAACTCTTCTGGCAACCCTTACTTTTTTGTTTGTATCCATGAGTCTGTTTTGTTTATTTTTTCTTGCTTTTCTATATCCCACATATAAATGGAATCTTATGGTATTTGTCCTTGTCTGAATTATGTCACATAATACCTTGTAGATCCATCCATGTTGACACAAATGGCACCATTTCATTTTTCAAAAACTTAGTTATATTCCATTATCTATATATGTAACACTTTTTTTTTGTCTATATATCAGTGGGCACCTAGGTTGCTTCCATGCCTTGCCTATTGTAAATAATGCTGCAAATGAACATAAGTGTTCATATATCTTTTTGCGTTATTGTTTTTGTTTTCTTCAGATAAATACCCAGAAGTGGAATTGCTGGGTTGTACAGTAGTTATATCTTACATTCTTGAGAAACCTCCAAACAATTTTCCATAGTGGCTGCACCATTTTATAGTCCCACCAACAGTGCATGAGGGTTCCCTTCTATCCATATCCTCACCAACATTTGTTTGTTGGCTTTTGATAATAGTCATTATGACAGGTATGAGTAGATGGGTTACTGTGATTTTAATTTGCATTTCCCTGATGACTAGTGATGCTAACCATCTTTATATATGTCTGTTAGCCTCTCTATGTCTTCTTTGGAAAAATACCTGTTGAAGTCCTCTACATATGTTTTGAAAAATCATATTGTTTGTTTTTTTGATAGTGAGTTGTATGAGTTCTCTATATATTTTGGATATTAACCCATTTTCAGATATATAATTCACAAATATCTTTTCCCATTCAGTAGGTTGTAATTTCATTTTGTTGATATGCGTTGTTGGAAAAGTCATGATGTATTTTTTGTATGTTTTTCATTGCAAAAATGTGTCATGACTTTTCTGACAACCCAATAGTTTCCTTCATTGTGCAAAAGCTTTTTTATTTTGATGTGGTTTCATTTTATTTATGCTTTTGTTGTTGTTGCCCAGGGAGACATATCCAATAAAATATTGCTAAGACCAATGTCAAAGAGTTAACTGCCTATGTTTTCTTTTTTCATTTATGTATAGTTGGCACACAATATTATATTAGTTTCAGGTGTACAATATAGTGATTTGACATTGTTGTACCTTACAATGTGATCACTCACTGATTCTAGTATTCATCTGTCACCATTGTCACTTATCACAATGTTGTTAACTATATTCCCCTTCACCTTTTTTCTCCCATCCCTCACACCCCCTTTCCTTTAATAACCATCTCTTTGGTCTCTGTTTCTGTTTTTTTTGTAGGGGTTTCATAGTTTTAGATCTTACATTGAAGTCTAATCCATTCTGAGTTTATTTTTGTATATGGTATAAGATAGCGGTATAGTTTCATTTTGTGCATGTATCTGTCCAGTTTTCCCAACACCATTTATTGAAAAAACTGTCATTTCCCCATGGCATATCCTTGCCTCTTTTCTTGTAGATTAATTGGTCATATGCATGAATACATTCCTGGGCTCTATATTCTGTTACATTGATATATGTGTCTGTATTTGTGTTAGTAGCATACTACTTTGATTACTATAGATTTGTAGAATAGTTTGAAATCAGTGAGTGTGACACATACAACTTTGTTCTTATTTTTCAAAATTGTTTTGGCAATTTGGGGTCTTTTGAAGTCCTATATAAATGTTAAGATAATTTGTTCTAGTTCTATGAAAAAACACATTAGTGTTTTGATAGGGATTGCATTGAATCTGTAGATTGCTTTGGGGAGTATGGACATTTTAATGTTATTAATCCTTCAAATCCATGAGTACAGTGTATACTGACATTTATTTGTGTAACCTTCAATTTCTTTCATCAATGTTGTATAGTTTTCAGAGTACAGGGTTTCACCGTGTTGGTTAAATGTATCTCTAGGCACTTTATTATTTTTGATACAAATATAAATAGAATTATTTTCTTAATTTCTCTTTCTAATAGTTTATTATTGGTGTATAGATACACAACATATTTCTATATATTAATTCTGTATCCTGAAAGTTTAATTTATTCATTCTAACAGTTTTTTGGTGGAGTCTTCGTAATTTCCTATATTCATATCATGCCATCTGCAAATAGTGACAGTTTTACGTCTTCTTTTCCAATTTGAATGCCTTTTACTTTTTGTCTGATTGTTATGGCCAGAACTTCTAATACTATGTTAAATAAAAGTGGTGCATGTGGGCATCTTTGTTTTGTTCCTTATATTAGAGGAAAACTTTCACCTTTTCACCATTGAATATGAAATTAGCTGTGGGATTGTCATATATATGACAAGAAACACACTTTATTATGTTGAGGTGTGTTCCTTCTATACACACGTTGTTGAGAATTTTTATTATAAATGGATGTTGAATATTTTCAAATGTTTTTTTCTGCATCTATTGAGATAATAATATGATTTTTATTTTTGGTTTTGTTAATGTGGTGTATCACATTAATTGATTTGCAAATATCCAACCATTCTTGTATATCTGGGATAAATCCCACTTCATCAAGTAATATCTTGTTAAAAGATGTTTGCATCTATGTTCATCAGAGATCTTGGCCTACAATTTTTTTTTTCTTTTTTTGGTAGAGTTTTTGTCTGGTTTTGTTATTCGTGCAATTCTGGCCTCATGGAATGAGGTTGGAAGTGTTCCTTCCTCTTCAATTATTTGGAATAGTTTAAGATGGATAGGTATTTTCTTTAAACTTTTGATAGAATTCACCTATGAAGCCATCTGGTCCTAGACTGTTTGTTTGTTGTGAGTTTTTTTGATTACTGATTTAATTTCATTACTAGTAATTGGCCTCTACAGAATTTGTTTCTTCCTGGTTTAGTTTGGAAGGTTTGTGTTTGTAGATATATATCCTTTCTTCTAGGTTGTCCAATTTGTTTATTCATAATTGTTAGCTGTATTTTGTTTTATGATTCTTTGTATTTCCATGGTGTCAGTTGTAATTTCTTTTCTTTCATTTGTGATTTTATTTATTTGGACCCTTCATCTTTTTTTTCTTGATGAGTTTGGATAAACATTTATCAAGTTTACCTTTCATTGATCTTAGTTTCATTGATCCTTTCTATTGTTCTTTTAGTTTCTATTTTATTTCTACTCTGATCTTTATCATTTCCTTCCTTCTACTCAGTTTGAATTTTGTTCTTATTTTTCTAGTTCCTTAGTTGTAAAGTTATATTATTTATATGGGCTTTTTCTTGTTTCTTGAGGTAGGCCAGTATCACTATGAACTTCCTTCTTAGAACTGTTTTTGAGCTGCATCCCATAGAGTTTGCAAAGTTGTATTTTCATTTTCATTTGAGATTTATACTTTCACATGCTTTTCTTTTACTATTTAGCACCCTTTTGTTTCAGCTTAAAGAACTCACCTTAACATTTCACCTAGTGGTGATAAAATCCTTCAATTTTCCTTGTCTGGAAAACTCTTCATCTCTCCTTTAATTCTGAAGGACAACTTTGCCAGACAGAGTAGTGTTGATTGGTAGGTTGTGTCAAAGTCTCTGTTACCCATTTTGATGTTTTCTTTATTTTTTTCTCATTTGCCTGATGTATAAAAATTGCTCAGCTAGGTTTTGGATTTCTTTCAGAGGGAACTGTTCCATATTTAGCTGTATATTTGGTGTGTCTGTGAGAAAAGGTTAGTTCAGATCCTCCTACTTTGCTATGTTGAACTGACAACCCATTTTACATTATTGTCTACCTTAAGAAGAAAATAATTTTATTTTCATTTTGTGGGTCAAACAAATGAGGAACAGGTAGTATGTAATCCTTGTATAGTAAGTATCACATAGGTGGTAAAGGTACAGTCAGGGTTTGGTCTCCAAAACAGGACCACTTGAACTATTGGGTTGTCTGAAAAGTCATGATGTATTTTTTCTGTTTTTCATTGCAAAAATGCATCATGACTTTTCCGACAGCCCAGTATTATGAAAACTATTAAGGCTTTAGTTAAAGTGAACTCATAAAAGGACAACTCTAGGAGTTGTTTCCTCAACCCCTCTATTGACAGAAGCTATTATCTTTTCATTTACTCTCTTGCTTTTAAAACCAGGGTGTCATTGGACAAAATTAACAAGTTAATAAGTGTTAAATGGTTAACAGAAGCCATAGTATAAATACAAATATCCTCTATCTTGGTCATTGTTTCACATTTCTAACATTCCCATTTTCTGAGTTCTCTCAGGTCATTTACTTATCAGCATTTACATTATTATAGTGGTGTGTTATAATAGCAACTGAGCTTTAAATATTCCTTAAAAACTACTCTGTGTAATTGTGGTGGGCTCTATTTCACAGTATACTTGATAGTGTTGAGAATGTGAGATAAGATTCTTCTTCTCTGTCAGTGATTTCAGCTGTCAACCTCTAAAACAGAGACACATGGAAACTGTTATTAAAACTTTTTGTCAAAGCAAGGGTACTTCACAAGTGAATAAATCTTGAACAGCCAACTTCTCAGTCTCTTGAGCACTTTTTATTTATTATAAATACAAGTCAATACCACAAGATGGCACCTTCTTACTTTCAACATCTACGATTACAAATAATTATCTTTTTAATATGTTGTTTCAGATATTATTGAAACCTTATAAAAGCAAAACTTGCTACAAACAGTACCAGCATTTGATGTATATTAAATGAGGTCAGATAATTAAATTCAAAAAAAGAATTTATAAATATTCAGATAAGAAAATTGAAATTACAAAAGCAGAGTTTGTCATCATTAAACCAAATTACAACTGTGTGTGATTAATTCTATATCTAGATTGCTAAGTTTTTGTTAAAATGCAGTATTAGTAATCAAATAATCTACCTCATTCTCCAATAGAACCACCTATTTCATTTGTACACCCTACCATTCAGTACACATTTCATTCACAAACCACCTAGCTTTCATCTAGCCCAGCAATTATGCATACTCCATTTTTTTCCCTATCAATGCAATCCATGAAGTGCCATCATCCCCTGGCTACAAAACAAAATACAATATTTAAAGGTAAAAACTCAGAGAATTTCTGAAATGGTAACCCATTCTCTCTGTGTTCATGAAAATAGTCAATCCAATTTGAAAGTCTTTGAACTAATGTAAACTCTAGAAAACTCAGTGTTGAAGTATGGGAAGAATAAAGATTTGCACTAATATAGTGCATAACAATGCAGTGTCAGACTCATCATTTACAGTAAATGCCTTGATTGAACTTTCCTCCCGATTGTCATCATGCTGCTGAAGATAAAGTTTACTCAAGTCTGTGGGAATTCCATCATGTTTTCTTCCTCCCATTTCCAAACAGGAAGAGAAGGGTTTTCAGGTCCCTTGGGAAAATCAAAAAATTAAACACTCACACCCTCAAACAACTAGAAAGCAAAATGGCAGACCAAATAATCCTTGACTCCATGTCCAAATGAAGTTGAGGCATTATACTTTTGCAATATTTGTATTCTGCCTAATATATCACACCATGAGATTCCTCAAAAAACTGAGAAGTCTGAGAGCTACAAAAGAGAAAGCGGTTAAGGCAGTTGATGTCTACATTTGGATTTCTTTTTCACGTTACATGTCTAAGTCTCCATCGTAGGCTAAGGTCAGAGGCTTCTGTTGGGGAGGTGTGCTTTGATGTGGTTTTGGCTTCTTGCTGCAAAGGGAAAAGAATTCCTGAGATAAAGTTCACAAAGCACTCTTTTATCTGCCAAAGACAACTTTGAGGTTTAGAAATTCAAGCAGTCAAATGACAAATTATTTTGTCTGGACTTGTGGGTTTCTTTTCTGAATACTTGTATACTTCCAAGCTATTTTCAGGTGAAGCCACCATGCTTTCAAAATCTTAAAAATGGTTTAGTGGAAACAATGAACTTGGTAGAGGGCACTCTCCTTTCTTCTTTTTGTTTGTACATAGTAATATGAACATCTGCTGCTCACTAATTCCTAAGCTACTGCCACCTTCACATCACAGATTTTTAACATCATAAGCTGCTGGAGCAGCCAGACACTAGAGCATCACCCTGATCTTGTTTTGAAGTAAACATGCTTCTGCTCTGGTCTGAAACCCGACATTTAACTGCTAAGCCACCAGAGTCTTGTCAGGAAAATCCCACTGATTCTGTACTATGCAAAGCCATTCTCACCTGATCTGTTTTACCTGAGGCCAGCAACTCTGCCAGGTCAGAGAGGGCTGCTACTCCTCACAGAGAGAGAAGCTGAAATTGAGCACTACAGCCAGTTCACACAGTGATGCCCCAGTTCTGGAGAAAAACACCCTGCCGTTTACTCTTTGATTCTTATTATGGGTGAATCTCAATTTCTGTCTATGAATGCTTATAGGTTGAATTCGGCCACACAGTGCCCCACCATTCCTCTTCAATGTCTTTGCTTTGCCATGCTTTTAGAGCCCAGCTAGCAAGCAACCATCTCCTTCCCTGTCTCTAAATTCTTATACTGTTTATCTTACAGTGACATCTATTATTGATTAGATGAATAGTAAGTGCCAAATATCTCAAAAATTCCAGAATAATAGAGAGAGGCACTAGAATAATTGCTATTTTACAGAGAAGGATGAAAGACGTTATTTACCTTCTGTCAAGTCACTGAGTTGTGTGGCAGAGTCTGGATTCTAAGCAAGTCTAGGACCCAGACTCAAGCCTTTAAAGTCTTCAGCACATCCTCTCTCTACACATGTCATTACTTAGGCACTTAGTAGAAACAACTTTGTTCATATTTATACTCTGAGTGAATTTAAATTAAAAACAAATATTTTAATGTGTACAATTCAATGACAGTACATTCACCATGCTGTGTAGCTATCACTCTTACCTCGTTCAAGACCTTTTTCATCACCCCAAAGGGAAACTATATCCATGAAGCAGTCTCTTCTGAGTCCCTACCCCACCTGCCCAGCAAGTACTTATTAACTTTCTGCATCTACGGATTTGTCTGTTGTGGATATTTCACATAAATGGAATCATACTTTTGTGTCTGGCTTTTTCACTTATTGGTTAAATTGTAAAATTTCATGTTATGAATTTTACCACAATTAAAAAAAAAGGCGTTTGATAAAATGAAAATGGTGGTAGGGAAAATACCCTAGTTTAAAATACTCAAGTTCTAATTTAAGGAGAAAAACTTACTGTTTTTAGGCTTGATGTTTGAAGCAAATTATAGAAGCTAAGGAGAATTTTTTTTTTAATAATTAAAAACGAAACTTAAAAGAGTCCACAGATCCTATCAGTGGCCCCAGTCGGCACCTGGCATGCAGTGGGTGCTCAATGGATGACTTGTTGAGGGCTGGGCATCGGCTACAGGAAAACAGCTTCCAATCAGACAAATTGAAAGGCAGAAACATGCTTTAGAATCCTCTGCAAAGGGACCTCAGCCTCCAATTTCCTGCTTTTCAGGTCTTTTCCATTTCTTCAAAGTGTATTTATTGCTTACTTTAGCTGAATGGCAGTCAATTTAACTCAATATACACGTGCATTCCAGTGGCTCCAGTCATATTGTTGGACTCAGGCTCCAGAATGGAGAATGGACCAAGCTTGAAATAGGGTCCTGACTACTCTAATCTGCAGCATTTAAACGCATTAAGAAAACACAAATAAGAGTAGGACAAGTTGGAAGTGACAGCATATATATCCACTGTGGTGGTGGTGGTGGTGACAGTGGGGGTTAGTTTAATGTCAAAAATGAATACCTGGAGGTTCATCTGAAATGACAATAGAGGTTCCCTCTCCCACATATCTTTTTTGGGGAGCAGGGGAAGAGAGGGGGAAAGAAATATAAGTGCTTCCTTCCAAACAGAGTTGTTGGCAATCCACTCTTAGTTGGCATTAGCTCAGGGTTATTTGGCAAATTGAAAAATGGGAGAGCTGAGTTCTGGAGAGTGGGGAGGAGGGATAGGATGGCTGGATCTTTATAAAGAGACAATAATATTCCTGGGAGACAGCTAATATGGGCCAGCCTCTGTAAGCTGGGCCTGGAAAATTCTGCTCAAAATATTATACAGATATTTTTATACCAGTTTCCATGTGTGGATATGAACATTGTGTCCACCTCTGTGGAAAAACAAAACAAAACAAAAAAACAGAACTCCTAATATATAAGACTTGGATTTTTGTGGGCTGTGGTGTGTGTTGGGGATTATTGTGATAAAAAACTCATTTATCATGAATTTTTTCATATTGTGTAACCTCTCAATTGACAGATACTAAAATCACAACTATAAATGTGTAAGATCTGAGAACTTTGATAGAGTTTAAAAGCTCTCAAATGTTGGCAACCATTGAAAAAGGTGGTACTTTGTTGGGTAGCTGTGGCTTTACAACACTTCTGGTCTATAAAACGAGCCCTGAGAGGAGGAGCTGAGAGACAGGGCTGCCCTCTGTAAAGCCAGCAACCAGGAGACTTGTATTTTTTTTCTTTTTCAGTTATAGTTGATGTACAATATTATATTAGTCTCAGGTGTACCAGATAATGATTAGACATTTATGTAACTTGCAAAGTGATCATCCCAATAAGTCTAGTACCTATCTGATACCATATAAAATTATTAGAATACTATTGACTATATTTTCTGTCCTGTACTTTATATCCCTGTGACTATTTTTATAACTGCCAATTTGTACTTTTTAAGCCCTCACCTTTTCCAACCACCTTCCCAACCTTCCACCCATCTGGCAATCATCAGTTTGTTCTCTGTATCCTTCAGGTTCCACACATAAATGATGTCATATGGTATTTGTCTTTCTGAGTCTGACTTATTTCACTGAGCATAATACCCTCTAAGTCCATCCATGTCATTGTAAATGATAAGACTGCATTATTTTTGGTGGCCGAGTAATATCACACTATATAAATATCTCATATCTTCTTATTCCATTCATCTATTGATGGAAACTTTGATTGCTTCCATGTCTTGCATATTGTAAATAGTGCTGCAGTGAATGTAAAGGATCATATATCATTGTGAGTCAGTGTTTTGGATTTCTTCAGGTAAATACCCAGATGTGGAATTGTTGGGTTATATGGCAGGCCTAGTTTTAATTTTTTGAGGAGCCTCCATAATGTTTTCCATAGTGGCTGCAACAATTTACAGTCCCACCAACAGTGTATGAGAGTTCCCTTTTCTTGAATCCTCCTATTCAACACCTATTGAACACCTATTGTTTGTTGATTTATTTATGATAGCCATCCTGACAGGTGTGAGGTCATATCTCATTGACATTTTAATTTGCACTTCCCTGATGATTAGTAACTTTGAGCATCTTTTTCATATCTGTTGGCCATCTGTATGTCCTTTTTGTAGAAATGTCTATTCAAGTCCTCTGACCATTTTAAAATTGGATGGTTTATTTAGTTGTGTGTTTGTCATATATGGCCTTTATTATGTTGAGGTTTGCTCCTTCTATCCTCACTTTGCTGAAATTTCTTTTATCATAAATGCATGTTGGATTTTATCAAATGATTTTTCCTGCATTGATTGATGTAATATTATTTTTATCCTTCATTTTATTCATGTGGTATATCATGTTAGCTGATTTGTGTCTACTGAACTGAATTTGCATCCCAGGAATAAATCTCACTTGATCATGGTGTATGATCATTTTAATGTATTGCTGAATTCGGTTTGCTAAATTTTTGTTGAGGATTTTTGCCTCTTTATTTGCAGGGAAAATGGCCTATAATCTTCTTTTTTGTAATGTATTTTTCTGGGTTTGGTATTGGGTTGGTTTTAGCCTCATAAAATGAGCTTGGGAGCCCTCCCTCCTCTTCAATGTTTTGGAATAGTTTGAGAAGGATATGTATTAATTCTTCTTTGAATTTTTGGTAAAAGTCTCCTGTGAAGCCATATGGTCCAGGATATTTTTTTCCCCCTTGGGAGTTTTTAATTACTGATTTGATTTCAATAGCAGTATCACTTGTTCAGATAGATGTTCTGTTTCTTCCTGATTCAGCCTTGGTATATTGTATGTTTCTAAAAATATATCCATTTGTTCTGGATTGACCAATTTGTTTATAATTGTTCATAATTTTCTTACAATCATTTGCATTTCTGTGGTGTGACTCACTACTTCTCTTTCATTTCTGATTTTATTTATTTGGGCTTTCTCTCTTTTTTCTTGATGAGTTTGATTAAAAGTTTATTGATTTTTTTTCTTTATTTTTAATTTTTCTTTATCTTTTTTATTATCAGAGAAATAGCTCTTGGTTTCATTTATCTTTTGTATTGTTTAGGACTCTCATTTACATCAGTTCTCATCATTATTATTTCCTTTCTTCTATTCACTTGGGGTTTCTTTTGCTAGTCCTTTAGATGTTAGGTTAGATTGTTCATTTAAGATTTTTCTTGTTTCTTAAGGTAAGCCTGTATTGCTATGAATTTCCCTCTTAGAATGGCTTTGGCTGTGTTCCATAGATTTTTGGATCCTTGTGTTTTTACTTTCATTTGTCTCAAGGTGTTTTTTGATATCCTCCTTGATCTTATTGTTATCCCATTCATTGTTTGGTAGCATGTTATTTAGCCTCCATGTGTTTGTATGTTTTTCAGTTTTCTTGTAATTGATTTTGTTTTATACCATTGTGATCAGAGAAGATAGTTATGATTTCAATCGTCTTAAATTTACTGAGATTTATTTTGTGGCTGAA